AGTTGAAAAGCTCTATGTATCTTTGTGTCCAACAGAGTAGTAGAGCATCCTGCTGATTGCTGGAAACTGTGAGGGATGAGATGCAGGAGCTCAATTCCCTTCCCCTGTGCTTTTGAAATTTTGCCCAAGTCTTGCTACTTGGCAGCACAAGGAGATGGGATGTGGTAGAAGTAGCAAGCAAGCTGCAGTGGGAGGTAAGAAGTGCTAGCTGGAGAAGCAGTCTTGCCTAACTTCAGTGCCTGCCTTCTTGCAGAAAGATGAGGAATATCCCTTTTTGGGAACTACTGAGGACACTGTGGAGAACCTGAAGATGATTGACAAGTTGTATGATCTTATGCGTGCTGCTGCAGAAGTTGCTGGACAAATAGCTCTCAGGTTGACCCATGATCATGAGCTTTACCTGGACTTTGAGCGATACAGTGAAGAGCTGCTAGCGTACCAGGAGAAGTTTTTTCCTTATGATCGGGATGTGAAGGTAAGAAAGGCACTGAGTGCATTGAATCCCTGCTATGGGGCCATGTGCTAATAAGGCTCTGCTGCCATTTGATACAGCAGGGTGGACATCTTCCTCCTTTGGGCACCAGAGTGTACCAAGATGTGACAGGAATTGATGTTCTTTATAGAGCAGTACAGGCAGAGTCACTGTGTAAGACAGATTTAGCTAATCTGGCTGTGGTGAGCTCTTGAGGAAACGGACACGGATGGTTTCTTGTCTGGTTACCATTTGCAGTACTGTGGAGCTCTGCATCTCATTTGCACCTCTGCTGAGAGCTCACAAGAAGCTGTGGGTGGGGAGAGACGTCACTGGGCTCAGTGACCTCAGAGGAGCCTGCCAGGAACTCGCTCTGCTACTTAGTTAAACGGGGGGGGGGGTTGGAACGGGATGACAACAAACCCAACACTTTCTCTTGGTAAGAAAGCAGCAGAAGAAGAAAATCAGGTTTGCTAACAGGTCCTCCCTCACAGGCTCTGGGGCTGACCTTGAACTGGCTGTTTTTTGCCCGTGGTGACTTCCAGCGAGCTACAGATACACTGAGACGAGACATTGCGAACAGTGACAGGGAAAACAAGATCGTCCGCAGGGCCCTGAATGACAGGATCATGAAGGTGGGTACAACTGGTTTTCCTTTTTTCATGAAGGAAAGAAAGGTTGGGATGGGCCTCTTCCTCAGGTGTGCCATGGGCAATGTGCAGACTGGCATCTCTTTCTTTGCTTAGTTTCAGCATGACTGACTTCTTCACTGGCTATTGAGAAAGGGTCTAACACAGCACAGAGGTGCAGTGAGAAAGGGCTGGGTGGGGATCAGAGGTCAGGAGCTCTGTGGCAGATCAGGAAAGAAAACTTGGGAGGTGAGGGTATAACCCTAAATTTGCACCCCTACTTCAGGTGGAATACGACTTCCTCTCCCCATACCTCTCGCCAAAAGATGCTCCCTTTCGCCACATCTTCTTCGGCAGAGGCTCCCACACCCTGCAGAGTCTGCTGGAGAGCCTGCAGCTGCTGAGAACCAGCAGGGACAGCGTGGATGTGAACATGCTGAAAGAGCAGCTGGCCCTGGCGACCTGGACCATTAAAGGAGCTGCCAATGCCTTAGTGGGTGATATCTGGGATACAGACAACGAATTCTAGACATGGCAAACACCTGGGTAAGGTACAGGATTAGGGATACCCACTCCCTAACATGGCGTTATTTTTCTGTAGATTCTTTGGCAACAAATATTTTTCAACCAAAGTGGAGCATAAAATTTAAATCTCAACTTGACAAATTCACAGGAGGCAGTTTTAAAGCAGGTACTAGGATTATCATGAAATCTGCTCTGACCAGGCTCCCATCTGACAAATGAGTCATGTACAGCTGCTTGCGGGGCTTTGCTTTCCAGTGTACTTGAGAACCAACAGCTCAGGTGACTCCTGAAACCGGTACCTTGAGTGGGGAGGTACCTCATCTATTTAGGGTTTTAATTGTTGGCCTCCTAAACCTAGTGATAAAATGGGGAATGGATTCCTCTTAACTCTTGTAATGAGGATCCCATTTCTGGCAGGGAGCTGCAGAGATCAACCTGTAGCTCAAAAATAAACCAACCTAGTAATAGCCCGCAAGTGCTGGATTATCAGCAAGCTCTGAAGTGCCCAGCCTGCCTTTACTCAACGGGAGAGTCCCAACATCTTACAGACTTGTTTTTGCCAAGGCAGGTCTTGATACCCAGGAAAAATGACCCAAAGATTATCTAATGTCCCTTTTAGATCCTTAGCTGGCACCTCAGCAACTCCTGCGACATTGAGGAATGGCTCTAGACTGGCACTTCAGACCTTGCTGCTATGGAGCCTTTTGTGAAATCGAGTCTCTTGCTGGCCAAACCCTGTCTGACTGATGCCATTTTGCAGGATGGCTCTTGTTTGGCACTGAGATATTTATTTGTTTATTTATTTATCAGTGACAGCGTTCACTATAAATGGTGTGGTTTTTTTATAGAAGATAATTATCGGAAGCAGTGCCTTCCATAATTATGACAGTTATACTGTCGTTTTTGAATAAAGCAGCATCTGCTATTACAATCAAACATGATACTGGAACTTTGCATTTAAAATAACCTTAAACAGGTCCCTCAAAAACCAAAAAGTTTTGGAAAACTAGCAATTAAGCTTTCTGTGGCAAAAACACCCCTCTGGAAGAAACCTAAATGTGCAAACCTGGTAGCAAGTCTCCAGGTTGTGCTCTAAAGTGATCCTTGAAATGCTGAAAATTGGAAATACTAGAAATGTGGCTGCCCTGTGGTGTCTGTTCCTCTCTGTGGGTTTCGGACCCCTCTTTGCACCCCTTTCTGGATGCAGTGTGCTCTCACAGGGAGCACAAGCTTTCCCCTTGGCCGCAGTGGCAGAGCTTGCTGTGTAGCCCTTGCTCCACCTGTGGCAACACACAAACTACTTGTACTTCAGATTAGGTATTGGCCCAATATTTAAATGGCAGCTTCCTGCAAACTTCCAGTACCTTATGTATCATGAAACCTAACTGACATTATCGGGGGCAGTGTCTTCCATAATGTGTAAAGAACAAGGTAGTTTTTGCCTACCACAGTGTTATATCGGAGGCAGTGACCTCCATATGTTGCACTATGGGTGTACGTAATTATCGGGGACAGTGTTTCCCATAATTGTTCTATGCTTACCATGCAATGTCATCTGCGAAGCTTGATGGTTAGTATCTAACATGGATCAGTTTCCTGCAGTCTTATTTTTTCACTCTCCTGTGGTGATGCAAATACAAACTTCGGTCTGTTATATGCTTCCCTATATTCTACCTTCTCTGTAGGCTGAACTGTTTCAAATAGGTGTGCTGTCTTGAAGTGGCTTCCTGCCTCCATTCATGGGGCTGGTGCTTGAATGTTTTGTGGAAACTAGGCTAGTTAGACTGTGTGCTCTGTGATTTAGTAAACTTTCTTCAGCTCTATTACAAGGACTTGGGGAGTTAAAGGTGAATGTAGGGCCTGGGGCTAATGCTGTCTGGAGGGCTCTGGTCACTGCTCTAGATAGGCATGCGTGGTACCTGAAGGCTGGGGGATGCTGCTGTGTGTGCAGGGGAAGTTGCTTGCTCCCCAAGTCCTGCTGGAAACTGCAGTCTTGTCTCCTGGGTGTGTGTGGAGTGGCACCTCTCTCATGGTGCCCCTCTGCTGCCTGCTCTGAAGCTGAACAGTGCTGCCGTGTGACACCTGCTGAACTCTGCTGCCTGTTCCCAGAAAGCAACTGGCTCGTTGCTGCCAGCGCTGTGCTCTGCAAACAGTTCTGGCATTTAAACCTAAACCAAGTGAGTGACCTGAGCCCCAGCAGTAGTCCTTGAGGGAAAGAACAGTGTTCAGCTGGAACAGAGGCCTGGCCTCTGCAAGGAACAGGCAAAGATGAGCCCCCAGCATGGTCCCTGAGATCACCAGTGTTGAAGGCAAGTTTTTTCACCTCTCTCAAAGCCCGATGCCCAGGCTTGTGTGACTCCTTGATGCTCTGAACTATCCTGCTGTCCCTGAGGCATGTGACCAGCCCCGCCTGTGTTACTGTTTCCTAGTGACACTTCTCCGGATGGCATTTAGGAGCTGCTGTCTGGGAGTCCTCACTGTAGTGTTTGCATGCATCTTGATGTCAGAGTTAATCATGCGCTTTGTAGCTGGCAGAGAAAGACAAAGCCTGTCTCCTGGCTGGGCAGCACAACCGTGACTGCTGGGATGTTGGGATGCCTGGCGCAGCGCTGGCATCGGCGTGGTGTGGGGTGTTAAACTGTTTCTGGGTTACCTGCTGTCTGCTAGAATAAAGTTTTAAAGCTTCAACACTCAACTCCTCTCGTGGGTTCTTGACCAGCCGCGATGCTGGTCTGGTAGTGTGTGAGATGGGGGCAGCTGGAGGGAGGCAGGTCTCCTGCATCGGCCTGCGGTGATGTGCAATAGCGAGTTCAAACCTCAGTATGCTCCGTGGCAGTGTGTCCTGCCTTGGGCCGGCAGCTGGCATGAGGATTCTGGCACTCAGCTGGAAGAGCAGCCTCTTGGTCACTGCATTGATCCTAAAGCACCTGCGGCACTGGGGTAGATGGTGGAAGTATGCAGTGTCAGACTTCCCACTGGCATTTGGTTGCTCATGGAGCCCTGGAGAGCTCTGGCAGGGCTGGAGCTGCTTCTCCAGGCCAAGGGCCTTCTCGTGGGAGACTGTGCTGGTTCGGGGCTTTGCATTTTAAATATGCTCAGCTTTCCTTCCCTAGTGCTAGTCTCTCCTCCTTAAGAAACGCTGCATCCCGTGAAAATGCACCGTTTTGGAGAGGGAGGCTGCTTGTTCCTTAAGGGCTGTCCCTCCTCTTCCAGCAGGGATGATTTACTTCTTGGGAACACGCGGTCTCCCGCAGCTCCTTGCCCAAACCTGGCAGGGCTCTCTCCCTGCAGTGGCGGGGCCTCTGCAGCCGCCGGGCGGGGCCAGCTCCTCCGGGGCAGCGGGGGACAGGGCTGCAGCCGCCTGGGAGCAGGAATCAGGACTGCTCCGTGGCAGTGCGGGGCTGCCCGTGCCCTGCGCCCCATCTCACACCTCCAGCCCCTGTACCGAGCGGCCCCCGGTTTGGTGCTGTTCCTGGTGAGTCCGGCCCCCGCGCCCCGCTCTTTCCCCGTCCGCCTGCCCGTCCCTCCCCACCCCGTCGCCATCCCCTCCCCGCCGTTACGTAAAGCGGCGACGCGGCGCCTTTAAGCGCGGGGCCGGCCGGGCGCGCACCGCCCCGGCAGCTCTCGCCGGCGGCGGCAGGAGGGGGCGGTGGCGGCGGCGGCTGCTGGGTAGGGGGGAGCGGCGGCGGCGGCCCCGGGGCTCCGGCAGCGCGGCGCGGGGGGGTCGCGGCAGGGGGCGGCCCCGGGGGGGGCCCCCCCGGGTGAGCGGTGCCGGGGCTGCGGCCGCGTGCACCATCCGGGGTCAAGGCGCGAGCGGGGTGCCGGAGGGCGGGGGGTTGAGCCCAGGGGTACCGGAGGGCGGCGGAGTGGCCCCAGGGGTGCAGGAGGAGGGGGGCTTCACCCAGGGCGTGCAGGAGGCGGGGCTGGGGGAGCTGCCCCGCGGCCAGGAGCTGGTGGCCGCGGGCGGCGGGGGGCCGGGGCGCGGCGGGGGCCAGGGCCGGTGGCACTGGGTGCCGCTGGGGGAGCGGACGGGCTTGCAGGAGTGGGGCGAGCGGCCCGCGCTGGTCACCGCAGCCGGCGGCGGCCCCAAGCCGGGCGCGGAGCCGCGGCGGCCCCGGGAGCGGGGGACGGCCCGCGCGCGGCGGCGGGCGCGGGGCGCGGAGGAAGCGGCGGCGGGGGAAGAGGGGGGCAGCCCCGGGGCGCAGCCGCCGCGGAGAGCGCGGTGCGCGGTGCGGGGCGTGCAAGAGCACGGCCCCAAAGCCGGGCAGGAGCAGGGCCTGAGCCGGCGGGCGCAACAGGAGCGGGGCGGGGGGCGGCGGGAGGCGAGCCCCCCAGGCCGGGCCCGCTGGTGGGTGCGGCGGGGCCGGCAGGAGGAAGGGGAGGCCAGGGGCGGGGTGCAGGAGGAGGGCGAGTTCTACTCGGGGGAGCAGGAGCACCCCGGCGGTACCCCCGGCGCACGGAACCCCGCACACCGCCCGAGCCGCAGGCGGGCCGCCCGGCTGTGAGGCCGGACCCGGCACCCGCTGCTGGCCGCCACGCGGGGGATCCCCCCGGAGACCGGGCTGCTGCCGGCGTCGATCTGCGTACCACGGCCCGACAGGCGGGCGGGCGCATCCTGCCTGACATGTGGGCTGCCCGGAGAGCGGCCGTGCCGGTCCTCTGCCTGCGGTGACGCTGTGGACCCGGCGCGGGATGCGGTGGCAGTGGCGGTGAGCACAGAGGTAAGAGCGAGGCGCGATCCCTTGCAGGGGGTGGGAGGTGTCGGTGTGTAGCACTGCGGCACTGCCCGGCCGTGCTGTGCCTCACCGGGCACTGCTGGCACAGTGCCCCGTGGTGCTGCCGGTGCTGCTGTCGTGCCCAGGCGGCAGTATGCCCGACCCCCCTGCTCCTGCCTGCCAGGACAGAGCAGGCAGTGGGGTCTGGAGTGAGTGGGTGCTCGGTGCCCTTGAACCCTCCCAAACCGCAGCGGAAGCTGGGGGAAGGTTTTTTTTTTTCCTGGAGAAAAGGCGGCTTTGCTCTACCCCGGGCTCGTGGGAGCTCCAGCGCTGAACAGAGGATCCTTGTCCTCCCGAGCCGGCCCTGCGCACTGGGGTGTTGTGCTGCTGCTGGAACCCGAAGCAGCGATGAGGTGCAGGGAGCCTTTACCCACTGGCTTGGTGGGCTACACCGTGTCTGTGTCCAGCCACACTAGCAGGTTTTTCTCTACACACTCGGGACCCTTTGGGTACTTTTGTTCTTTGTTGGTTTCGCATTTTTTAATAAAGCCTTTAAGTTAAACCGGGTAAGGTGGTGCCGACAACCCAGTGAGGGTCCCACCTCGCCAGGAGAGCCCCGCTCTGCTCTCCCGGCACTGCCGGACCCCTTCCCTGCTCTGCAAGTATCCCGGGATGGGGTTTGCAGGTCACCGGAGGAGCCAAGGCAGGGACAGTGTCTCTGCTGCAGTGCTGCTGTCATGGGCCAGAGGCTGTGCAGGGCTCAGCTGTCTGGGCAGGGCAGGCTGGGGCAGAGCCCGGCGCTGGTGCTTCCCCACGCGCTCACCTCCCTGGAGCCGCCTTGGTGCATCATTGTGGGGTGCCCCAGTGTCGTTGGGTGCTGGTGTCAGCTCACTGCCCCATACAGTGGGTCCCCCTCATCAGTTGCTGCATACTCTGGGTGTCATGCATCCCCCCCATTTCTCAGCCCTTTGCTGAACCGACTCAGGGCAGAGCCCTTGAACAAAGTTTGTCAGTGCTGGGCTTTGCTAAAACCAGGACCTGCCTGGGGGCTGTCTCTGAGCTGGTCTGCTCTCTGACAGGCCCTTCGTTAGGGCCGGGGTCCAGGATGGACCCCGGGTGCTGCAGCTTGATGCTCCCTGCAGGGAGCGGGGCCAAAGTAGGCTCTGCACTCTCGGTCCCGCCGCACTGAGACCCAGGTGGGGGCTGTGCAGGCTGTGCAACCTGTTACCAGCCCCTGGAGCTACCCGGGCCTCGTTAGCCTGGAATTCGTTAGTGCAGGGCGTGGGCCATGTAGGTATGGCTGGGGGGCTGGGGATGCCTCCCTTCTCCTGCTCTTCCTCCTCCAGCTACTGCCACCCTGCTGTCCTGGGCTTGACTCAGCATACCCCGGGGCATGGGGGTCCTTCACGGGCAGAGGAGCAGCCACCACAGGACCAGGAACTGGTGCAGGCTTGTAGCAAAGTCTTCTCCCACCTTGCAGACCAGGCCTCGATCCGTGCCTCAGTTTCCCTCCCAGAGGCCCCATCCTGCCACTGAAGCACTGGGGTTTTCACTTCAGTCATGCCCACGAGGGATGGTAGCTGGCTGGGGCAAAGAATCGTGGGGGACATGGCCCACTCATGGGTTTTGAGGGGCAGGAGGGACCTCTTCTCCTTGCCGGAACAGGAAGGCTTTAAGGAGAAAGTCCTGCTCCAGCTCCCTGCTGAGCAGCCCCAAGGGGGGGCACTGTTCACACTGTAGCCTGGCTAATTAGGCTGACATCAATAAGCGCTAATGACCAGCAGATGCTGAATGGTCTCACCAGGGCACTGCTCTGCTCTGGTGCTGGGAAAGTGATGGGGTTTAGCTTTTGTCCCCCCAGCTCTGGGGCTCATACCTCCCCTGCTCCCAGCACCCATCATGTAGGGGAGATGCTGTGTGGTGGATGTGGCTTTATGCCCATCTGGCCTAAGACCTGCCAAATTCATCTTATGCCAGCTACAGCCTGCCCCAAGGGCAGGTCATGCAGTGGCATGGAGAGGGGGGTAATGCTGGCAGCACCCCTGGGGCAGAGGTTGGACCCTGGGCTCAGGGCCTGTGCTGGTCCCCCCCTTTCCACGGCAGGACCAGGGGCAAAGACGACCCGTGCCCCTGGGGCAAAGGGGGAGCAGCTCCACAGATGCTCTTTCAGCTGCCTGGGCAGGGAGTGACTGGATTCAGGGAGATGCTCCCACCTGTTACACTCCAGGGAGCCTGGAGGGTCTGGGTTGGGTAATATCGGGGTGCCAGGCTGGGGGGGCCCATTCTGACATCTCACTCCTGCTTTGCCCCAGGGGGACCCTACGGCCAGTGTCACCACAGCCCTGTCAGCAGCACGGCTGAGCCCTGACACCGTGTCCCCTTGCACACTGCCTGGCTCACTGTGTCACTGGGGCTGGTGCTGCCGAGGGACCCCCACAGTGCCACCACAGCGGCCCAGGTGAGTGCGGCGGGCACAAACCGACCTTGCACAGGGCAGGGTGGCAGCATCTCCACCATGGCAGTGTCCTTCGGGGACAGTTGTGCCAAGGCTCAAGTGACTCCAAGCCTGCTGCCCTCTCCCCCTCCCTGCATTGCCTGTGGGCATGGAGCTGACTGTGGGCAGTGTGCTGTGTGTGCCGGGGGGGTGTTGCTTTGCCTGCTTCTCCCCCAAAACACCGTGCTGTGTTTCTGTCTTGGTTGGAGGGGCTGGGGTGGGCATCAGCTACAGGGTCAGTGATTCCTGCCTGCAGTGAGGAGATGGGAGGTGCAAGACTGGCTCAGCCCACCCTGGCTCGACCTGCAGAGGAGATTTAGCAGAGGAAAGAGGCTTATGGAGGGGATTGGAATTGCACTGGGCTCTGTTGGGGTGGGAGGGCTCCCCACCCAGCTGCGTCTCTCCTCCTCAGGCAGCCACTGCTGCAGGCAGGGGCTCAAGAGTGGGGGATGCACTGTGCCGGTGATTAGGATCAGGCTATGGGGCCGAACTCTGGGAGTCCAGAGATGGCAGCGAGGGGTAACCGGGCACCCCGGCCTCCACGGCCACCACCACCACAGGGGTCACCAGCCCTCCGTGCCGGCCCCCCAGGAACTCCTGCTTGCCAGAGTCAGCCGAGCAAGCAGCATCGGGTACCAGCACCGAGGGAGCCAAAGCACCCACCGGTACGGGGTCCCACAGGGGGGACGTGGGGTGGGGACAGACCCTGGGGAGCTGAGCGGCAGCAGCACCCTGGGGCGGGCAGGATGTGCCTGGCAGCCCTGGTTTCGGTGGGAGCAGGGTGCATTTGTACGCGTGGGTATGTGCGTGCCCGCACGCCTGCGCCAGGCCGCTGGCTGGGGAGTGTGTCACCACAATTTGGGGCCGCCCCCGGGGCCCCGCCAGGGCTAAGCCAGCCCCGGGTGCCGCCGTAGCCGACTTGCTGCCGCCACAGCCGGTGAGATCACTTCCAGGTGACAGAGCTGCCAGGAAGGTGACAGAGCTGCCAGGAAGGTGGCAGGCTGCGGTGGCAGCAAGCGGGGTGATGTGCCGGAGGTGAGTGGGGGAGGCCTGTCTCCCTCTGGGAGCTTGCATGGGGACCCGCTGCTTTCCAGGGTCCCCTGTGAGGGGTGGTGGGTGCAGAGATGCTGCGGCCGCAGTACCCAGGGTTGCAGGAAGGGATGTGGGGCCAAACGTGGTGTTCCAGAGTGCTGGGGAGGTCCAGTGTCAGCAAGGGGAGGGACCTCCTGGGGTCAGTGCCTTGTGGGGCAGGAACAGCACACCCCATTTGGAAGTTGTCCTTGTGTTGGGGCCCCTCCGGGGTGGGAATTGCAGGCAGGTGGGTCAGGGGTGGCATGGCGTGATGCCATCCATCCTCCTACAGGGAATCTCTCATTTGGGTTTCAGCTGAGCCTGGGCAAGCCCAGAGGACCCAAGGCATGGAGGGGTGAACCACATGCGCTGTGGAGGCTGTGGGGACGGGGGTTGTCCCCCTGTGGCTTGGTGCCCCGCAGCATTGCTGTGGCTGGAGAGGCTGGTGAGGGTTTGGGGGTAGCTGGGGCCGGAGGGAAGGTGTCACGGCACGCGCGTCAGTCACAGCTGTGGCGTGCCAGCCCAGTGACGCCGGCGGCCGTGCATGGGGGTGGCTCGCTGCTCCCACGCCGCGGGCCCGGCCCGCCTCGGCTGCACAGCTGAGCTCACCTCCCTGGTATGGCGGGGCAGGAGGAGCCGCCACGGGGCGGCCCCCGCCCGGGGCAGGTGCCCCCCGGCACTGGGGGGTTTCCCCTGGGGAGGGCAGGATGGATGCGTGCTCCCACTCCTCTGGCAACACCGGGGTCTTGGGGGATGGGGGGGGTCGCGGGGTGGGCATCGTGCTCCAGTGGCGCTGACATAAGGAGCAGATTTGTCCCTAGGTCTGTGCCATGCCCCAGAGGACAAGTGGGTCCTGGGGGACTGGGTAGGGGCTGCAGGGGCCTCCCTCTGCTTCAGCTCTGGCCCAAGGGGCCTCAGAGAGTGGCTGTGGCCAGGCAGTGTTGGGCTGCGAGCCGGCCTCAGTGTGCAGGTTGGGGGTACCCCATCCCGGGGGGGTGGCCACCCAGTGCCACCTGCCCCTGCTGGGGGCTGTGCCTGGTGCAGCACCTGGCAACGGGTCTGGGAGACCCCCAGCGCCCTGCGATGGGGTGGGGAGAGAGGACTGATCCTGGGAGCCATCCTCCCCGCATGCCCCCCGGAGCCCATCCCCGCAGCGCCCGCGGGGCCTGGCTGCTCTCCCGGCACTGCCGTGCTTGCGCCAGTGCTGCCGGTCGCTGTGGAGCAGCCATCTTCCCAGCACATCCCATCCCCCTCTGCCGGCGCAGGGAAGTGGGAGGGATGCCGGGGATGCTGCCAGCCCCAGAGCCCCCCCAGCCCCTCTGCAGGTTCCCAGCGGGGTGCCTTCT